GCCTCCCAAGTAGCTGGGACCACAGGCGCCCGCCACAACGCTTGGCCATTTTTTGGTTACACCCATCATTGTTTGGCAGGCTGGGGCTGGATTTGAACTTGCTACCTTAGGTGTATGTGGCTGGTGCCTTAGCCACTTGAGCCACAGGTGCCGAGCCAAAAAGAAAGATTTTAAGTGTTAACTTCCTAAGCAGTGCTAAGGGATGATTTTCTTGGTATATAAGCATCTACATATCTGAGGTGTATAAAGTTTTCATTGCCAGTGGAATAAGCAGATCTCGATGGTACAGAAAAACATTAAAAGAGTTTAACTATTATTTTGGAATGAATTTCACTCAATATGTTCCCACATACTTAATAAAATATGTATGTTCTTTATTCCTTTCCTAAATCCCACTGACGTATTCTAATCAACGTATTTAGAAATAGGAATCATTGCTACCCAAATCAACAAAAAGATTCAATATCTGTATTTCATTAAAATGTAACCCCATTTAAAAATTTTGTATTGGATATTAACCCCATGTGTAATCCATCATAAGAATACTTAATGATTAGTTTCTAGGCATGAATTTCAACCTTGTATTTAATTCTTTATGCAAGATTTACTAGTTTTAACACAGTTTCTAGAAATTCTGCTTTTGGAACCTACATTCGGGATCCTCTGAGGATTTCTTCCACAGGTCTTGGCGTTCCAGCACGTGAATGGCTTGTGCTGATCGGGTGAAGGGTACGTGGTGGGGGATTGCGTCTCCTGGCTGACTGCACTGTATATGACATACATGATGTACTAAACTCCATAGCTCGATTTTGCCAATTTCGGGTTGAAAGGATGGTACTGGATCCAGGCCTCATAAGTAGCTTGTCATCAAGATCTCTAGCGGCACAATTAGAAAAACACAATGAAATAAAATAAAGATTATTATGTACAGGAAAACAAGACTCAGGTTAAAAAGCTTTAGACTATGAACTATATTCAGGGGAGGAAAAAGCAAAAATAAAAATTTTTCAATAATCAAGTTTCTAGAAGGTAATCTAGCTCAGACATGAGACTCTGTTCTTTTTTTTTTTTTTTTTTTTTTTTTTTGAGACAGAGCCTCAAGCTGTCCCCCCTGGGTAGAGTGCTGTGGCATTACAGCTCACAGCAACCTCTAACTCCTGGGCTCAAGCGAGTCTCCTGCCTCCGCCTCCCAAGTAGCTGGGACCACAGGCGCCTGCCACAACGCCCGGCTATTTTTTGGTTGCAGCCGTCATTGTTGTTTTGCAGGTCCGGGCTGGGGATTCGAACCCGCCACCTTAGGTGTACGTGGCTGGCGCCTTAGCCAGTTGAGCTATAGGCACCGAGCCGAGACTCTGTTCTTAAAAGGAGGGCACCATTTCAATCATAAAGATTATTTATGGAGATTTGGGAAAGCCAAGCCCCCATCTGCCACCATGGTCCCTTGTTCAGTCACTAGTGGAGGCAAGCCCAAAGGCCACCTACTCTAAAGTGCTTTCTAAAACCTTGCCACTGGGGCTGAGATTCCTATTATATTTGAGGCATTCTTCAGTGCTGAAGGACTGTCACCAAAAGAAAACTGGAAGGCAAATGCTGCTTGAGAGTAGTTGTGGCACCAGCATGGCTCCCACTGCAGAGATTCAAGTGCTGAGCTAGTTGGAGCCTGCAAGAGTTGGGGTGCAGATTTGGGTTCCTTAAAAAACCAGGAGCATGCAAAGGGTCCAGGCCTGTGCTCCCCAGTGCAGTGGGACTACAGTAGCCCTACTGGCATAAACAACTGAGAAACACACCTCTTGTTCATCCTCTGATAGATAATATCAACACCACACCTAAACAGTTTAGTAGCTTTAACACAACTACCCTACAAATTTAGGGTTTGGTTTGTTTTTGTTTTTGTTTTTAAAGCAAATGAGTCCAGAGCTCCTGGGGGAAAAAAAAATGAAGCTGATGAGAGGATGTTTGACTACTGTCCAACATTTAAGAGAGCATTTGCAGAATGAAGTAGAGTAGAAGTGAACAAAGCAACTAAGCTCTGTCACTTCCTCTTGTGCAAGTTTCTCAACCTTTCAGGCCACTTCAGTGCCCTTTAGTGCAAAACATGCCTCAGTATTTGGAGAACTCTGAAGGGAAGATGCCCATCAAGGAATAGGGCTAACCTTTGAGAATTAGAAGGGTATTTCTGGTCTTCCTGCCTGCCTAACCATTCACTTTTCCCTTACACCTTTTTTATTTTTCATGCTCTAATTGCTTTCTAAATACAAAAGGTTTAGACTTTAGCTGCTCTATATGTTCATCTTTATTTTGTTTTGTAAACTCATTCTGGATTCAATAATCACCTCAAGCCAGACAACTTTTAGTCTCCAAAACTGATCTCTCCCACATTTCCAGTCAGATGATCCATCACTGTAAATATACCCCCAAAGAAACTCATCGTTCCCCCCAAAACACCCTTGAGCTTGAAACCTTAGAGCTGACTTTGACTTCTCTATTTCTGTGTAATTTCATCTCTTTTACAATAACTCTTAGAACAGCTCTTTTCCTTTTCCTGTGCTATAGCTTGAGTACAGACCTTTAGCAAGCTTGTGTATGAACTCCTGAACTAGACCCCTTGGCTTTTAGTTCCTCCTGCTTTAATCTATGTTCTATCACTGCCAAATTGATCTTTCAAATTCCTGTATAATGTGTTCCCCAACTGAAATTCATACATAGCTGGTACAAGTGTAAAATGGTACAAATACTTTACAAAATCGTATGAGAGGTCCTCAAAAAGTTAATGGAAAATACATACATAAAAACAGTACATGGATTTCAAAATTTTTTGCACCAAAATAAACTTGTACTAACTTGTTATAACATGTCTGAACAGAATTTAGTTTGAGGCTCTAAGAGATCAGTTTGAAAAGAGCTCCTATCAGGGCAGTGCTTGTGGCTCAAAGGAGTAGGGTGCTGGCCCCATATACTC